CTGCTGAATCTCCTCTGAGTCATGAAAACCGACATCATTATTAATTCAATTATATATAATTTTAATTTAGAGCTTAATTCACTCTGTTTCAAAAAGAATATTCTTTTTGGGAGTATAAATTTTTAAAGAAATGCATGCACTATGTATTTTCTTTTGAAAAGTTACTAACTTACCTTTTAAAATTTTAAATATCCAAATTCAAAATTTTAAACTCTAAAGATATATATGAAAATATATAAAATATATTGTTTGAAAAAGAAAAGTGAATAATTAATTTGAATATTACTTAAAATGGTAAGTATCATATAAAATAGGATAAAATTTTAAGTAACAGCAACATCACTTATCATTGAATGCTTAATGTTAAAAATTTTAAAAAAATTTTAAAAAATATTAATTTTTTAATTACCCCTTAAAAATTTTAGTACTGAAACCATACTTAATTTTCAATTTTATGAAACAACACCTTAAACTTAATATGTCCAAGAACACATAAGTGATGGAAACAAATCTCAAAAATATTTTAACTTTAGAATTCATGTGACAGTCAAAAAGAATATATTCAAATGACATTTCAACATTTTTATAATTCATTCATGTTATGTTCGGTTCTATGCAATTGATTTCTTAGAATTGAAATTAAAGAAAAATTAGTTCAAAAATTAATTTAATATATATATATATATATATATATATATATATATATATATTTATTTATTTATTTATTTTCAATTTCAATTCAAAAACAACAATTCCATACAAACGAACACACTCTATTTTATTCGATTTAATTTGAATTAAATCCTCCCACGCTTATATTGTAAGAGTTCTTCCGAGATTGAATCAAATGAAAATCCTTAATTAACGATGACATATAAATAAATGTGTGCAATATAATGATTAAGAGTGTGCCGACTTTGCCATTATTTTCCACATTTCAAACGTTGAAGAAAATGAAAATGACTGGATTACAATTTTCATGGTTGTGTTCAACTTTGCATCTTACTCATAAATATTGTCACATGGATTCTTATTTTGTCTATTTTTGGTTTACTTTTCCACATTTCATTCACAACATGTATTGTCTTTATCGCTTCATTATTTCTTTACTTGAATCACGAGGTCAATATATATATATTGGATTTCTGTCGAAAATGGTAGTGTTGGACGTTCTAAAATATTCCATAACTCACTGTTGTTGACAGAAATCGTCCCTCTCATTTGCATCGGCCAATTATCGAAAAAATTCATTTTAGAAACATGAATTTGACAAACAATACATCTCATGAATTTGACAAACAAGACATCTCATGATCATGAGATGAAAAATATATTCGTGGGTACACACAAAATAAACTGGTTCTTGAATTTGGGCCAGCTAGCAGCTTACATTATACTTGGACAAGCACATGGGTTAAGCCCATGACTTTCTCATTAAACAACTTGGGCCAAACTTTTCCCTTTTATTTTTCTTCTCTTTTCATTTATCCAGTAGTTAATGTCTAATGGACTCTTCTGGTCTCATGATCTCCAGTCCAATCTTGGGCCGTATCACTTTGGGCCTCAGGGTTCTGAAAATCTGGCCCACACTGCGAATCATGTAAAATTATTTTTTCGGATTTTAATGGAAAAAATTAGAATACCCCCGGTACAGTATCCCCAGGCCTTCCAACCGTTGGATAAAATAGTGAGATTTACATGATCCAACATTTGGAAGGCCCGGGATACCGTATCTTGGAGTATTGTAGAATTTCTAGTTTAATGGGCCCAAACAGCTAAAGTTGTACTTGAAGTTTACAAAGTAATATATATATATATATATATATATATATATATATATATATAGTAAATCACTTTGTTCGGTTAATGTTACCATTTCCGAATCAATTACTCATTTAAAATTAGCAAACGAGTTAGGGTTCATCGTTGGTGTAATAAGTAAAAGTGGAGCTAACAAAACTATGAATGTATTGTTCCAAGAGTAAATTTTATCCCCGAACAATACATAAAATTCCATTTAGACTACATGTTTCTATCAAAGTGCAGTCCGTTTCTAGTTCTCTTGGACTACCCCCATAATAATTGTCCGATGCATGTAATATGAAGGGACTCATCTATTCGGTGTATATTATGAAATTCTTTAAGAGACCAAACACTAAACGCAAGGGTTTCCACGAGGCCAACGACTTGTTTGGCAATTTTTTTTACTCCAATGGACTCGCTGCTTTTGGGCCCAAAAAAATTGAATCGAGGAATGGGTTGCCGTTTTTGGAGACCCTTATGGTGATCCGCATGCGGCCTGGTTGCAAATGTTGACTTTTTAAAACAGAGAAGTTCCGCGGCAGTGTTTCAAGGGTCTGTTTGGCTAAACACAATTTCAGAAATTAGTTTTTTTGCATTTTTATTTACTCTTCTTCTCCACTGTATTGCTTAATTTTTATAATACAAAATAAATATTGTATTATTTAAATTTTTTTGCATAATATAATCGTTAGAAATATAACCGTTAGAAAAAAGTTAAAAAAAAATATATTAAAAATTTTAAAAATATTAATATTTTTTGGAGATCGAAAATGCACCATTGGAATTCACGCCATAGCTAAAATTTGGAGACTCCAAAACGCTAATGTAGCTCTCGAAAATGCTAACGTATCTCTTAAAAAATGTTGACATGGCAATCCAGAGAGCCAATTTTTAGAGAGTCCATTGGATTTGCTCTAACACACACAAAAGAACAACTATATATATTTATAACAAAATGCAATAGCAACCAATTTTCTGGGCGCGCTGTTTATTATTCTCTTTAGATTTGGTGGGTATCCAAGACTCTAAATTAACACCCAAACTGTCCCTCTAAAAGTTTGAATTTAATTTCATTAAATTTGATTAGTTGTAGAGTAAGAGGCTTGTTTTATCTATATATATATATATATATATATATATTCATACCAACACACTCCAAATAACCATTTAAGGATTAAATTGTTAACATGCTTGAAAAACAATCTCACATTGGATCCTCCTCTAATGATGCAAAGTGTTAGATCTGCTGTTTGGTTAAAGTGTGTTTGGTACAAAGTCATAAAGAGAGGCTGAAAGAGTTCAGAATATAATAAAAAAGGCGAGGCCAGGAATGGAAGGAAGGAGAGGAAAAGAAACCACCAATTCCTTTACAACTTTCAATTCTCTTTTGACCACTGTCTACCCCTTAGCCTGCCATGCCAAACGGCCCAAACCCATCAATTGTTCCTTGCCTTTTCCCTTTTCCGTAGGCTTAGTTTGGTTGGAGAGAAATGTAAAAGAAAGAAAGAAAGGGAACGGAATAAAATAGTACAAAATTTTAGAATGAAAATAAAGAACATAGACAAATTTGGATGGATAAAAGTTTATCCCCCAAAAATAAGTGGAAATGAAAGGAAAGGACTACAAAATTCTTTGAAAATTTTGTAATACTAATTTTACCCTTAAATAAAAAAACAAAATCAAAACCCCATATGAGGAGCCCTAGGCATGTTTTTATCCTCTTTTATTCTTTGTGTTCAACTAATTACTTTAGCTAGAACCCCTTATCTCCTTTGAAAAGTAGGAGTCTAGTACCGTTAGGCCACTAACTAACATATCTCCTTTAAAAAGTAAGAATCTAGTACCGCTAGGCCACTAACGTGTATTAGCCGTCTTTATATTTGCCTTTATCACTCCTTACCTACCCATTTGTCTTTTAAATGTGAAAGAGTAAAGTAACAAATTTATTAAAATAATTTGCTTCTGTTACTTTATCCAAACATGATTAAAGCATTAAGACAATCATTTTCTTTCCTTTTTTTTGGTTAATCAACCAAACACTAATAGTCTTAACACTATCATCTCATTTCTTTTCTTTTCCTTCATTCCCAACGTTATCCTCCTTTCTTTCTTTTCCCATTGGCTATTCCAAATATAGCTTCATTTCTTTACTGTTTGTTTCTTTTTCTTTCTGATTGCAATGAGGCTATACATTCAGATAATTGCCATTTAGCAGTTGCATGATCAGTACAAATGCAAACTATGTCAAAACAGGGAAAAGAAAAACTTTCAGTCTACCCATACCGTGATTCCAACCAACGGATTCGTTGAACAACTCTTGGGTAAACTATTAATAATAAGAACCGTGTCGTGGAACTTCATTCAAAAATGAAACTCTCAAGCAGACAAACGACCCTGCATCTTTTTTATCTCTCCCGCATTTTTATTTGTATAAGTAGTTCATATTGACGATGAAATTTATGAAGAGTGACCCGTTACTTGTTATTCTGTACAAATGACATAGAGTCGACGAATGAGATGGGTTCATTAACAATTCACAGATGAAAAAATGGCAAAAAATAAAACATTCACTCCTCTTCTTTGTATCTATAGTATTTTTGCCCTGGTGGTTCATAATGAGAATATTTTCATCTTTTTTGATTCCAGGCGTTATTCTCATTATGCACATTAAGGGAGGAGCCGTATGAGATGAAAATCTCACCCTCTATATCCTCTATCATATCTAGTATCTAAAAGCAAACAAAACAAATGCGCACATGCCTTGTCTTACACTAATATATCGGAATAGGAATCAAACCAAAGGACCCCTTAACTATTAAGGGGGTTAATAGAACGAATCACACTTTTACCACTAAACTATACCCGCTACAATCCGATTATTGTATACAAGTGTGACCACCCTAAAATTATTCAAATTATTTATATTTAATTCAACCACCACCATCTCCAAATTCGAAGGACCCTCCATCAGATGAAATATGACAAGTATACTGACACCAAATCGGCACCTTGGATTTGGGATTGAAGAAAATTTAGTACAAATTTCAATCCCAAATCCAAGGCACTGATTCGGTGTTCCCAAACATAACATGAATCATTTTCCTGGAAAGGGATTCCAAAATATGTTCCTAATTGCTAGATTGTTAACCATATTGGAGCCTGCAGTGCCTTGTTGATGGAGTGAGACCATTAAGCCATTGCTTGGATAACATGAGTTAAATATTAAACCATACAGCAGTCACAAATTCCTGATGGTTTTGCTATACATTTAAGAAAAAACCCACTTCTTCCCTCAGTTTGCAGCAATACATTAAACCAAAGCTTAGACAGTCACAGGGTTACACCAGGTCTATTTCACCAGTTTACATATATATACATAACTACACAACTACCAAGAAGAGAATACCTCTGTAAATGCAACCTATTAGCCACAACAAGAGACACAAAAGACAAGCCAAGGACACATATTTTACATCTACTACTACTACTGCAGAGGGAAGGGGGAGATTTAGGTACCAGTATCTGTTAGTGTCAACAGCCGAATGCGAAGATACAACACCTTCTGTCAAGGTCGTTTGCACACCCTCTTCAGTCTCTTTGCAGCTTGCACAAACCCCACAATGACCTGCAACTCGTCCAATTGCTTCACCAACACAAGAAAGAAAATTTCAGATAACCATTTTCAAACACATCCTGAAAGAAGCCTACTGTAAAGAGAAAATTCGTACACAAGCATACGAATGGTTTTTCTTCAGCCAATAATACTTTAGTTCATAAGCATTAGATTGTTACAAATTGCATTTCCAGGCATTGGTCTCACAAGTTATTATAGGTACATCATGAAGGAATAATTGTCATTTGTGTTTATGAAAGATACTCCCTCCGTCCCACAAAAAGTGTCCATCTTTCCATTTTTAGCCGTCCCAAAATAATTGTCCAATTCTAAATCTAATGTACTATTTCTTAAATATTCCTAATTTACCTTTCTTGCCTTGAAGTTATACAAGCAATTAAAGTTTGAAATAAGACCTCATGTAGACCCACCATAGAAGGGTATATTTGGAAATTCATTCCCTACCACTATAATAAAAAACATAAAAAAGATAGACTCTTAAAAAGTTGATTCTCAAAAAGGAGCACTTTTTGTGGGATTGAGGGAGTATAATAATTGATAAAGTTAATAACTAGAGTAAATTAATGTTTCATTCATTTGAAAGTAATAGTGAACCAAAAGAAACATAATAAGAGTCATATGTATTAATATATAATAATCGTGAATTATTATAGATGCAAGTCTAACCATATATGTTGGACACATATCCCAAATCCATATCCAAGAGTCACGTGTCCGACATAGGTATTTCACGTACTTGATTTTGAGTTGAATGTAAAGAAGAAAAACACAAGGGCGAGTATGCTAGTACCTGTGACATGAAATGCCTCTGAACGACATCAATTAGTTGCTCTTTAGATGGGTTGGGGATGGCATCCACCTAGAAAATTATAATGTTAATACGCATAGTTAAATAGGTGGTTTGCAACCACCTCTAGTTGAAGTGTCTTTAAATAAAATAAACACTTTCTGAAGGTAGCACATACAAGATTGAAGTGTCGCCAATATCTCCACAATGCAGCCATCTCTAGTTTTCCGAGGTCAACCTTCTGTGCAGTAGACGTGTCCAATTAAAAATCAATACAGTTTCATATGTTCACAAACAGAAGCAATTTTTTCTACAATTGATAAGAAATTAAGAAAGGGAAAGTGCAAAAAGGGTAAAAAACAAATAAGTATAAAGTTTCTTTACCATGGACCCCCGAGGGGTAGAAATGGAACCCTTAGACTGTGAGTCACAGGAGAGCGACCTGCTCATAGTCTTGTGAGATGACCCGGTTGATTTATGCATGCGATGCCTTGATCTGTGGGATTTTTGAGTGTCATCGGATGCTGGATGATTAGAAACAACACAGCACAATTTTCATTGGGTGGTGGGACCAAAAAGAAAACAAGAATAAAGTAGTTTGATAATGGAGCTTGAAGCAATAGTAAAAAGTAAAAGATGAAGTACAGACATAATGGATCCTATGTAACAACCTCAACAACTTTTCTTCAAATAAAAAGAAGTGTTCAAAATCAGCGACTACAGTGGTCCAAATCTGACCTCTAGTTGTTAATGATTTTTAGGATAAGAATGAGAAAAATCTCTTTTTTCAACCACCAAGGCCAGAAGGCCACCAGACAGACTAGTTGATAACCCTCCTGGCCAAGCACAACATGGCTAGGTATCACTGAAAATCGATTGCATTTGGAACCGATCAAGAACAATTATAAGGAATATGCACAAGCCAGAATATCACGGTATTGTAAAATTCATCATCTTTTAAACATTTGATAATCCAGTTCCAAACAATTATAAGGAAAATTTCCGTGAGATTTTCTACTAAATTGGCTGGGTGAAAATACAAAATTATGCCACTGAATATATTAACCAAACTCACCCATATCTGAGACATTCCACTGCACATTTTCAAATTCAAGACCGTCATCTTCCTCATTTCCTGTAGGAGCTTCAATCACGCTAAGAGCATTCCTTTGTAGCTTTACTTCTATGCCATTTGTAAGAACCTGCATTTATAAAGAGGACAGTCAAACACACCAAAGATCATGAAACAACACCGAAAAAGCAGAAGAATTGAAAAGGCAATTAGCATATTAGATACAGGACCTCACTAGAGAAATTCGTTTAAAAAATGTCAATAGACACTGTTTTGAAGGCATGAATCTACCTCAACCAATGAAGAACATAATTTCTAAAATTTTTGAAAGGGCGTTATAAGAAAGAAAAATAATCTGAACCATCAGCTATAACAGGGAACATGAGATACTTCGAAGTTCCGGAATATAAAATTAAGGAAACAAGGAAAAAAAAAAAAAAAAAAAAAAAAAAAAAGGGAAAAAAAAAAGCCGAGTCACAAGCACAATTAAGCAAATAAACCTAAAGTTGACTACAAATCTAGTTTGTTCAGAAAAATCCAAATAACAAAAAATGCAAAACTTCCGTCATTTTTAAAGATGAAGAAAGTAGAACCAAATATCCCTCAAATTTGAGTAAAAAAGTAGAAATACCCAGGTAAGTAAATATAGCATAAAGAATTTTATTGTCAATCAACCATTTAAAAATTGCATCTATAAATCAAAGAAATCATAGAGAAAAGAATATATGGAAAATTGATAATTAGGATAAGTAATCCCTGAGGCATGCACACTCATACACATGAAACAACCAATCACTAATCCAAATGAGCATCATAATCGTATTGACTAAAGCAAGGGTAAAAGAAATTCACAAAAACAAGTAATTCAAAAACTCGAGTACAATGCATCCAACCCCAAATATGTGTTCCTCTTTATTTTTGAAATATGCCACACCCCTTGAAATGTTAATCTGAACAAGATCCCGAGCAAAATTCAGTCATGCAAACCATCCCCATTAGAGACTAAAAATTCTATAATTTTCACAAAACAATTTTCTTGAAACTATAAAAGATAACAAAAGCCAAAACCCATCAAAATCAGAGACAAATAATCCCAGAAAAAAAAACCATTAATATCAAATATAAAGACCTAGAAAACCTACAATGCACAATTTAAGTGAAAGGGAAAACCGGATACGCAAAAGCAAGCTTGCACCAAACCATAATTGACAGTACCACATGCTAAAAATAACCCAATAAATCCCTAGATCCATAGATTCAAAGCCACATGCAACGAAAAACCCATTAACAAGCACTAAAAGTTAGAACTTAACAATATCATAGAACATCAAACTTCACGCAATTCATACATAAAAGTCATGAACCACCTAAAATTTGTAAAATCTAATCCCAAAAAAAAAAAAAATGGAAATACAATAATTTATAAAAATTAAATTCATAGATGAAAATAGTAAGCAATCAATGAAGAATAGAGGCAAAGAAATGTAAATTGCACAAACAATAATAATTATTGCTCCTCAATATGTCAAATATCAATCCAAAGTAGTGAAATTGTCCCACATTGCAAGCAACATAAACAATCAAACCCTTGAAAACCCAAATCAACATTACATCCCAAAATCAACCCAAATCAAAACCCAAACTCAAAATGAGGGCATTCTTTCAGAAACACCAAGTTTCGAAACACAATTACCAGCCAATGCCATCCGCCGAGTCCAACAGCCTTCTTGACCACACCTTGGAGACCAACGAGCACCGACTTGGTCCGGTTGTTACCGGTCACAACCACCTTGGTGTGACGGGGCAAAAGCGAAAGCTCTTCTTCACTACTCTCTCCACAGCTCTGCAACTGCGAAAATCCGCCATTGACGGAACTCTCCACTGCTTCAAGCATGTCCTTTCCAACTCAGTGAGTAGTGTGAGTCGAAAAAGTCGGTGAAAACTCGGGCGTTAGCGCTCGAAATTGGAGGTAATCGCAAGATCATGCATTGGAGAATTCGTATTCGAAAAGTTTGAGAGCGTTAGAGTGAGAAAATGGGGAGTAAATTGGGAATTTCAGGGGAGAAAAAACACAATGGTAGAGAGAGAGAGAGACAGAGACAGAGAGAGAGAGAGAGAGTTGGGGAGTGTCTGTTTATTTTTCTTTATTGCATGTTAGTTCTGAATCCCGAAGACCTGAATGGGACCAACAGAGTTGTGACACGTGGGCATGTATGCTCGTTGATCTTGCGTTTGGGCTTGGCGTTGCGGCTGTGACGCAATTCCACTAGCGTTTGGGTTAGAGTTACAGTGCGTTGATCATTTGACTAAAAGTGACACGTACGACTGTTAACCGATTGCATTCGAACCGACTTGTGAAGAACAAACTTCCTACCAATAGATACTTGACACTACGGAAGTAGATTAGTAATACAAGTTGGGATACGATATGGATATGGCAATACGGCAATACAGTAAATGTAAAATAAAAATAGGATATGGATATGACCGAATATAATAAAAATATATTTATATATATATAAATATGAATATTTTTATCAATTTCCTCTAATATTAAGAATCTAAATGCAATCATTAATAAAAGAGTTTGTTTCATAACACATAAAACAAATTTATATTCTAATCATCACTTAATAAATTTTGAACTATTTTTAACAAATATACCATATTGTTATTGTGAAAAAAGGTTCATTTTAATGTGAGTATCTGAGAAGTATCATATACGTGTTAGAAATTAAAAATATATTTTAAAATTGTGAATATGTTTAAGAAGTATCAAATACATATCCAAGGAGTATTGCTATTCGACACGAATATGTTACTCTTATAAAAGTATCGGTACTTCCTACCTTCACACTTTGTATTTTTGTATTCAAAGAGGCCTAATCTTAGCAATAACAAGAGTATTAGTCCATTTTTTAAAGTGTATTTGGTGTGAATTTGTTTGTTAGTCTTTATTTGCAAATTTTTGCTCCTACACTTTGACGTCGTATATGGCAAATACTGAGTGAAAAATCAAAAGTTACGACAATGGTGGATACTTGAGCAAGTTTCTATGGAGGTGTTCGGCTCCTAAAAACCGTGGTCCTTTCCAAGTGCGGAAAAGAGGGTGAGTGTCGGGCGTGTCAGGAACTGCTGTCATTCCAAAATGGATATCCGAACAATTATCCAGTTGGAGATTGTAGGACCAGTAGGAGATTGCAGGGGTCAGACGATTGTACGAAGGACTGGAATTACCACATTTGGAGGTTCTTTTTGCCTTAAAAAAGGACTTCTGGACTATTCTATGGCTGGTGGAAAGGAAAGCGGTATTGAAAATGCAGGATTTCAAAGTAAGGTGCTGGAAAGTAAGAATAATAAGTGCAGGGCTTGAATTAAACATATTGAAAGTGCATTACATGAATGTAAAGAGACATGAAATGTAGTAATTGAAGTGCTGTTTTTGCTGTGTGGTTTGAACAGGGTTTGCAAGTGAAGCCTAAGCATTCTATTTATAGAGTTTTCCATGCATGCATAGCAACCTTAGCAACTTCCGCTTGTATTGATTTCGAACTGCCAAATGTCCCATGTTCTCTTGGTAATTGTAACTTCTTTCCTCCATTTTCTTCTATCATATCTTCCACTCTGTCTTCCACGATTTCTTGTTCCCTTTCTTCTACCATAAATATCTTCCCCTTCAAACACGATTTAATTAGCCTTGTCATCCATAACTTACGACAACTTCCCTTCAGTTAGTGGTAGCAGTTGCATGAAATACCACCACCTTCAACTGATGTATTCTTGTTTGGACAAGTGTCCCACGATCCTTAAAATTCCATATATACATGTATATATATATATATATATATATGTCTAATTCTGTTAACCCACGTCTCCTTTATTTGTTGCAGATTTCTTCCCCTTTTCAAACATGATTTAATTATTGACTTCAAATAGTGGTAGTTGCCTTTCATTGTTCCACCACTTTCAACTGATCAAGTATCCCACGATTTCCTTCTTTAAAGTCCTTTTTCTCCTCTAATTCCGTATATACATGCACGTATATATGAATCATTTACAGACCCACGCTCCCTCTATCTTTGGGTAACTTCCTTCTGGTTAAACTTCCCAAACCGGTCTCGGCTTTTATGGCATTGTGGCCCTTTCTTTAAGTGGTTTTCTTTCATAGGTAATATATATATATATTAGAAATATATATATATATACCATCTCCCACGTCCTCTTGTTCCACCATATCCCCTTGATTTTAGCGACTTTCCTTAATTAAACCTTCCATCTTGGCTTTATGGCGTCATGGTTCCTTCTTTCCAGTGCCTTTTCATTGTGGGGTGCATATAATACAAATATATATATGTATCAATATATATATGTGTGTGTGTGTGTGTGTCATCCCTTTTTCTTTAGCAGCATCGTTAATCTAACTAAGATAGTTGTTGAAGCTTCCTAAAATTTAAAAGAAATTCCAACCCACGTTCCCCTTCTTCTGACCTGGTCAACTCTTGGTTTTGTAGAATGGAAAACCTTCTTTAAGAATTGATCTACCGTGGTTAGCACCATAGTAAGCTTAGTAAAACTCGCCATGTGTGGTAAAATTCATTCCATATAGGAAGATGTGGGTCCTTGCTTTAAAGATGACAAGTCCTAATTGGACTTGCCTCTTTCCTTCTAATAATAGAGAATTTTACATAAGAAGACTTTGGTGGGTCTACATAGTCCTTGCTTCCACATGATATTACGTAATTTAAATACTTAGAATGGAATTTTCCCAAAGTTGCGATCCGGCGTAGCAAGTTCTATTGGAACTCACCACATACCTCCTCCTTATTGGTGGATAACACAAAAAACAATCTTTAGTAATATCATACTACACCTCCTCTTTTGGACATTAAAGTACCAATCCAATGTGGCAAGTTCATTGGAACTCGCCACATGTCGCCTTTCCATTGGGCAAAAAATAATAGAGTAAACATATGCCCCTCAAATTCCATGCCTTGTGGAACAACTTGATGATAAAGCATGGGATTTGAATTCCGCCATCATGACCCACTTAAATTCTAAAGCAAACATCACAGCTATATAATTTCCATCTTTTCATGCGGCTAAATCCTTGGTTCCTTCCATATTAATTTCTTATGCCGATAATTTGAAAAGTACCGCATATCCCCAAAAGATCTTATCCATTTATGGCTAACAACCAAAAACCTCATTACTTCCCTTTTAAATTTTAAACTTTCCAAACAAACCCCCTTAAAAGTCATCATTAGATTGGACAACTCAAACTAATCATTAAAGGAAGAGTTTCTATATAACACGCTGCTGGCTCCTCGATTTCCTCCATGTCAATCTTCATTTGCCGCCACTTTCAAAAGGAACAATCCGTATCCCAATATAAGTCGTATCCATTTATGGCTAAAACCATCAAACTTCCTAATCTTCATTACTCCCTTTTGAATTTTGAAACTCTCAACTACCAAACCTCAGAAAGCGTAATTCTTTCATTGATTATATATATATATATATATATGTTTTATGGAAAGGACATGAGATATATGTATGTATATATATCTCATGTCCTTTCCATAAAACATATATATATATATATATATATATATATATGTATGTATGTATGTATATATATCTCATGTCCTTACCATAAAACCTTTCTCTTTTTTCCTCTTTCTTTTTCTCTAACCAAACCCTAAAGTAACAAACCCTAATTTTGTGGAAGTTACGAACCATGGCTCTTGTCAAAGTTAAGAAACCCCCCAAACAGACCACTAGTTCCTCTCTTCCAGCCCCTTTAGTTCATCTTAAAATGAAAACTCGAAGCCCTAGCCATCAAGTCTCATTACTTCTAAAATCCTTAAATCCTGCTAGGCTGCATCTTGATCCTCTAGTTCCTTTTGAAGATTCTTCAGTTGGACTTGGACCGGCCTTTGCAGGTGTGGCCCCTTCTGAGTTGGCAGAGTTTTATCCTTCTGGTACGTCTCCTCTTCCCTTTGATTCAGAGTTCCCTCTTATTTCAAAGAAGGGAAAGAAAGTAAAGCCCTCCTTTAATATAAAGAATTGGCCACCATACCGCTTCTCTTGGACTTCTTGGGTGAGTCATCTTTTCAAAGATGGAAAAATTTCATCTCAATGGAAAAGACAAGGAATCTTTGACATTATCCAGATCAGTAAGGCCTCCATCACACTTGACCCAAATCTCCTCTTTCCAGCCCTTTTCTTCTGGCCCACAACCACAAATGCCCTCCACCTATAATGTGGAATAATGTCTCCTACTTTAAGAGATGTTTGTTTCATTACCGGCCTCAAACCCCATGGAGATGATGTTAGTGCCACTCTCTTCGTTGACCAATTCCTTTTTCCTACCAAAAATACTAGTAGAAAGAAATTCATTTCCTCTCACCTTCCTTTCATCAAGCATTACAAGAAAACAGGACCAGTCGAGGAAAACGAACACATAGCTTTCCTAATCTGTTGGCTTTCTGGCTATTTATTATGTGTTCCATCCGGCCAAGTTACTAAAGACTTCGTTCAGGTTGCCATCTCTTTGGCCAGGAATGAAGATTTGGCATTGGCTCCTCTTGTCCTCTCTCACCTGTATAGAGGTCTGAATAACCTTTTTGCTTCTAAATTCTCGAGATTTCAAGGCCCTTTCTGGTTATTCCAGATGTGGCTTAAGGTATATTTTCAAGACAGAACTTCCCTTCTTGCCATGCAGACTGGAAAAACCCTTCTGTGCTATCCCTTGGCAACAGTAGCCTCTTCCTCTTTCAGCTTTACCGAAAACTTCGAGTATTTTTACAATCAATGTGAGACTGGAGACGACAAGTTCTTTGACCCTTTTACTTTCCTTGATCACATGCCATCATGGCTAGTCCCTTCCCTAGGGGTTTCCACCAAAAAATATTCTGGAGAGTGGAATAACATTTGGGCAAGCTTTCTACTTGCTCGAGACCTTCATTACAGCACTGCCAATCCTACTTTAAGTAACAGCTTTTGTGGCATGGAATTCTATAATCCAGCCTAACTGGCTAGGCAGATGGGGTTCCCTCATCTCATTCCCTTGCCACCTTATAAATCTCAAAATAGATTCTTTGATCAACGGGTGAGAATCACAGATGTTGCA